TACTTTACCAACAATAAATATCTATAAATATAGCGGACATTTGATATAAAGGTAGTTTTTTTTGTTCCGAAAATATTTAATATTCCTTTAAGTGAAAGTAAAATAATTCTGAATTAGGTGATCAACAAATCCACTCTTTTCCAAATCTAAAATTGGTGGTGGGACGCTGGAATTGTTAAATCGCTAAAATTGTCGTCCGAAACCGCATGCATGTAATGAACATGATAAAACTTCAAGATAATCAAATTTTAAAAATCGAAAGTAATTTTTAAAATACACAGTTTCTCACAAAATTTCGTGTCAGTAAATTTTACTTGAATCCTATTAAAACTAAAACACTAATTATATTATGATTAGAACACATTTGGAGATATGTATATTATTTCTGATTACACTCTGATTCTATAAAACACCTAAACGATCGTTCATAATAAAAAATCGAAAAATAATTTCAAATTTCAAAACAAATTTTGCTAATACACAAATACGTCAAATGTAAATTCGATTTGTGACTGATTCTAGCTTTAAAACATTCATATGTTAACTTCCATGTCTTTTGGTCTCTGAGTGAGCGATTAGACTTTATCTAAAATAGTGCTTGATAACTTCAATTATACATTGTATAATCAACCCAACAAATATGAATGTAAGGATATATTGGTTGCACGTTAATAAGACAGCAACCCTACGACAACAATATCCAGAAGACATCTTGAGACCAATAAACGGTTTACTGTGACAAAAAAATATTCAATTACCTTAATAATATTAGGAAGTTCAAAGTTTCTCTGTTAGGAAGATGACAGAGATTTAAATCCAGTGAATGTTCACACGATAATTTCTACTTTCATTTTCCTTTGTTTACGACAATTACGGTTGTAATACGGAAAGCGATTTCTTCCGAAGTTTTGGTACGGGTTCCAATCCTTCCTAATTAAAAATTAAGTTTTTGATATTAAAATTCTATAGGCGTTATATTAAAACATAAAAGTTATACGGAATATATTTATTTCTGTTTAGAAATTGTATATATTTCTGGTTAGTGATTATTCAAGTATAAAAGTAAAGTTTCTCACAGCGTTAATCAGTTCGGTCATCAGAGCTCCTAGAGTGAATACATACCAAAAAGTAACTATAGCTTTTTCTGAAGAAGTAGATTACCAAGGTCATTTGGTTAAGCTTACATAAGAAGGAGCCAATTGTACTATCTGAATAAAGTGGCGACATATTGTCCTGTTGTGTATAATTAAGGTGACAACGTCATACTGTCCCTTTGGACCAGTGACACCTTGGCCCTGTATACATAAGGCCCAGGGGCGCACTAGTTACCATATATTCATATATTACCTTAGAATCAAAGTACTAAAGTACTGTTAGACAAATAGGTGAACAGTCATCCTTAATTTTTAAGAAAGGCTAAGTCAAGGTTCAAATAGGCCGTCCCTTGTGTTGTAATCCATTGTTAGGTTAAGGGTCTTATATAGTATAGTTACATGAAGTAATCTTTTTCATTCTCGTTAGGCTTTTATATCTTAGTTTAAGTTATGTTTAGGATACCCGTTACCATTTGTTAGGGTTAACCAACGATACACAACAAATCCAGGGAAGTGACTCTGGTACGGGTCCACAGGCACATAAGGTACCGTCTGGCGTGTAGGACCCCTCTACGTTGCAGAATTTGTTGGCAGCGTTTGGATTTGTTCGCTGTATATTTGTTATTTAGATATATCAGTCACTATTCAGTCAGGCATATGTTTTCCATATAAATATGGATAAAGTCGCATATGTGTTTGCCCAAGTGTATAGGTTTCAAAAAGAAATTCAGTCCACCTTGTCAAGGTGTCGCCATTCACATTCTATACCCATTTCCGAGTTTGCAAGTGACTCAGGATTACCACTCAATGTAATGACATAACGTCTGTTGACGAGGCAGCCCGAATTCATAGTACCACAGTTGGTCAACATTATATAGGGTTTTTTGTTGGGAAGTTGGTAAGCTTTCAAGTGGTCATTGAAGGTGTTACAAAGGGATGATCAACACATTCCTTTGTAATTACAGGGAAAGTAAGTTGTTTATCTGGTAGCAGTGAAAATTAAAATTGGCATAGTTCCATGATCGGATCCAGCTGTTAAGGTAACTAGCCTTATTAACCAAGTGAAAAATTTATTGATCAAGGAAAGGCTCTTGTAGGAAATGTTGTTGTAAAGTCTGCTAAGATAGTTTCTGTTAGGCTTAAAATATAAGAGACAGTGTCCTTGTACTTAATGTCGGTACTGTGGAAATCTCATCGGAGCTAAGGTTGTTTAATAGTGAGGTAGACAATGATAAGGATTGTGCTTTTAGTAATGAATTGAAAAAGTTTTAATAGATCTAGTGAGAGTCTTATCAATTCAACTGAAGAAAGAATTCAAATACACATGGATTAAAACTTTATTGGCCATAAACTGCAACAGAAAATATTTTTGACTGTATGCACATTAATTTGAACTGCACATATTGCAACAGTAAAGTTTGATAATTTTCAAAGACAAATAAAAGAACACTATAACACGTACTTAAGATGGTAAACAACGTCAGTACCTAGATTCTATACTTCAAGACCATCATGTATTATTTGTGAAGTTGATACGGAATAATTATCAACAAGGTGTTGGTATTTTCCGATGAACTTTTTTAGAAAAAGGACATGATTTTCTTCGACATAACTCTGGTTCATCAACTTCCTGCTCAGACACTGGTTACGTTTTAAAATCTGAGTAGCAGCTGTAAGCTCTTGAATACCGAATGCGTTTGGGAAATTTATATCCTGTATGCAGATGAAGTTTGTATATTGCTACTAAGGTAGGGAAAATCGATAATTTCAAAATTAAAATCGTCTCGTTTGTCATAGATTCATGTACTGAGATGACCGCTTATGTAAAATTCGAGGTATAAGTCTAAAAATGAGGCGGAGGAAGCCGTGTCTGTTGTTTCTTAAATTTCTAGTTCTGGGGGATATATTAATGGAACCCAATCAGAAAAGTTTGGATTGTTATTGGAAAGAACAATATTAATATATCTGAATGTGAAATTAAATGATATGTCTTCTTTGATAGTCTTGCTTTTTACAAGTGTATGAAGGAACACCGACTCATATGCAAACAAGAAGAGGTCGGCAAGGAGAGGCGAACAGTTCGTTCCCATAGGAATGCCGACAATTTGTTAAAAAATATTATACCAAATGTAACCGCATTGTAAGGTACGAAATAAGTTTCTTGAACAGTTCACAAAATGAGTGGCCATATAAATAAATCTCACGAAAAGACACTGCCGAATAATAAAGAAACATTAAAATAAATAAGTCGAAAGAATTGACAATGAATCAGCAAAAAAGAATCAGCGCTTTATCCAATAAACAATCAAAAAGGGTAATTTGAAATTTCAGAAAATAAATTGTATACATTCGACCAAATATATAACTTTATCTTCAGTGTTGATAAATTTTGCAGTTTCAAACAATAAGTTGTACACAATGAAACACATATAACTGTATCTTTAATGTTGATGATTTTTGCAGAAAATATGTTCTATACTATTTTTACTTCATACATTGATGGCTTGCAATACCAAAATACAAATCTTGAGCAGTGTTTTAGATTTGATTCTAAGAAAGTCTTCGACATCGTAGAACACACTGAAAAACTCGGTATCAAAAATTGCTGAGCGATTTTTTTACAGGTATTTCCTTGAGACCGATACTAAAAAAGTAAAGATGAAATTGAGGGCACATAATGTTAAAAAGATTTTGGCAAATATAACCGCATAGTGAGGTACAAATTGTGTTTATTGAAACTGCAAAGAAAAGTGAGTGGCCATGGCTTAAGCAATCTATTGTACAATCGGCAAAAATATTGCAATCAACCACAGTATACATTTTTTACTTTGTAAAATCGACAATGTTTTTCATCTTCCAGTGGAGTCTGACAAATGTTATGGTGTGACGGAGTAGCAGTAAATAATATTGACTTGACAAAATTATCTATCCTTTTATTCGATTTTTAAAAAAAGTAAAGACTTTTTACGAAAACTAGATATGAATCATAAAAACAAAGTTGTTTGGTGATGTCATTAGTTTAATACATTAATAACCTTTCCCTGTGTATTTGTAATCCGTGTGCAGTGGGGCATACATGACGATAAATGCATTTTACAGTATGTATGCAGCTATTTAATATATATCGTCTGGACTTCAGTCACATATTTGCAATTTTTAATAAAAGATTTTCTTAATTAATGTCTTGATGCTGTCATCTTCCGACTGTTAAACATCGCCACTCTCATTGTTTACGTGATATTATATATAATGAATTGCTTTAAACAATAGGAAACTAAGTAAAATGCACAATAGATACAGACTTTGACAGAAAATGAAAAACATTTATAATATGATACCATTTGATTAATAAGTAAATTGCGTCTCTTTTATCTTCAATTATAACTCGTCGAAAAAGAATCACAAGGTTCTTGTGCTTTTAACCATTTTTTTTTTTAAATTATTTAGATTAAGGATGTACATCTCAGAGAAGCAAAACTTTCTAGAATTAAACTTTTTTCTTAACCTGATTTTTGGGTTTATATGGCTGTAAGAAAGTAACTGATGAAGAAAAAATCATATGGTGGTGCACTTCTTTTTTTTGCTTCGGCCATTTGAAAGTAGCCCATTTTTAATGATGTTCCCACTTTTCATCAATTTTTACCCTTTTTTATCTAACGATTACACTTTTGTTCATACTTTTACAAAAGATGAAGTGGACCAATCTGAATAAATTTAACTTAAAAACTATAGGTAGGTGTTAATATAAGAAAGTTTTATAAAAAACAAATTCTGTTTCGTCTCAAATTGACCATGCTGTCAATTTGGAAATTTGTGGTTTTCTCTTTTCTTTAGAACAAAAAGCATATTATTTCAACTTCTTTGTTATAAATGATAGAAAAAAAAAACATATCTTAGAATTTTTAAAAGAAAAAGAAATATGGGATAAATATATTTTTGGTAAATCATTTCTTTGTATCTCTCACCCATTTTCTCAACATTTTGGCTGATGACACTGACCGAATTGGTTATAAAATTTGAAAATGTTATTACTCAAAAATTCCTTATTGTAAGTACACAATTTTGTCACAGAGTTAAGTTTGATTGTAATACTTTTAAATTCATTGATATTTCCCACTTATATCACATGCTTTGGAAATAGTTCCCGAACAAGATTTCAACGAGACTGAAACATCAGAAGAATACATCCTTAAATTCGTTTTTCCAAGATCCATGTGAACGCCCGGGCGTTTTGGTATAAACTTTGCTACACGCATGGGAGAGCATTAAAAACAGAAAAATAAAAAAAAAAGTAGTGCAAAAAAGCTAAGACAATCTTTACCTCGTAGCAGAAAAAAACATGTCTGTCCCGAAATTTTCAACATTGTTGATGTAATACCACCAAATCATAGTACGTCACATCCGGTTGCATGCGAAAAAGGGTCGAAAAAAAAATATTCCCTTGAATTTGACATTTGTAGGAAATTAATAAAATAGAGAATGGAAATGGGGAATGTGTCAAAGAGACATCAACCCGACCAAAGAGTAAAAAACACAGCCGAAGGCCACCAATGGGTCTTCAACACAGCAAGAAAATCCCGCACCCGGAGGCGGACCTCAGCTTGCCCCTAAACAAAAATGTGTACTAGTTCTGTGAAAATGGACGCCATACTATAAACTCCTAAACATATAAATGAACTAAAATTAAAAAACATACAAGACTAACAAAGGCCAGTGGCTCCTGACTTGAGACAGGCGCAAAAATGCGGCGGGTTTAAACATGGTAAGTGAGGTCTCAACCCTCCCCCTATACCTCTAGCCAATGTAGATTAAACAAACACACAGCAATACGTACAGTTAAACTCAGTTTTAAAAAAATCCGAGTCCGATGTCAGAATAGGTAACAAAAGAAACTAAGCAAAATGACAATGATACATAAATTAACAAAGGACTACTAGCAGTTACTGACATGCCAGCTCCAGACCTCAATTAAACTCATTGAAAGATTATGTCTTCATCATATGAAAATAAAGCGCAATCCCTCCCGTTTGGGGTTTATTATCATACCATCATAAAATATATGAGAAGAACATAACCTGTATCATGCCAGCAACTGTTTTTAGAATAAATGTGTTTATTTCCGATGCAAAAACCCTATGAGTGAATCAATATTAATACCAAAATATACCATCTTTAATGACCTGACAACAGTATCGTACCTATATCCCTTCTGAATAAGTCTGTTTAAAGGTTTGGTTAGCTTTTGAGGTGAATGCCGACATTTTTTTGCTTTGTAAAGAATATTTTCATATAAGATTGGATGTGAAATACCCGAACGTATAAGATGTCTGCATTTTGATTTATATTTACGAATGATGTCCTTGTACCGATGGTAAAATTTAGTAAATGTTTTGACTAGTTTGTGATATCGAAAACCCTTTTTTCAGTAATACAGAGATTTCTTTCGTTAAAATCAATTACGTTATTACATACACGAGCGAATCGAACAAGTTGAGATATATAAACACTATAAGATGGTGACAATGGAACGTCACCGTCTAAAAATGAATAATTAACAATAGGGAATGAAAAATTATCTCTTTTATCCTAAATTTTGGTAATAAGCTTCCCGTTAAAGATATAGATATCAAGATCCAGGAAAGGGCAGTGTTCATTGTTAGTATTAGCTTTATTTAAAGTCAGTTCAGCAGGATAAATCTCTTTAGTGTACATACTGAAGTCGTCATTACTGGGAGTCAATATATCATCCAAATATCTAAAAGTGTTATTAAATTTTTGTATCAGATGTGGATTCGATGGGTCTTTGCTGATTTTAGTCATTAATTGTAACTCATAACAATACAGAAACAGGTCCGCAATAAGTGGTGCACAGTTAGTCCCCATTAAAATTCCGATAACTTGATGATATACGGAATCTCCATAGCGAACAAAAATGTTATCTAGTAAAAAATCAAGGGCAGTTATAGTATCAAAGCAGGTCCAATTGACATAGTTCTTTTGTTTGTTGTTACTAAAAAATGACCTAAAAGAGTTTGAACATTTATATTTGCATTCTGACTTTTTAAATGCTCATTAAAATTAGATGTGTAATTTTTTTCTTAATAAGATTATGAAGCAAAGTGGTATATAGAGTAGAAAAATCAAAACTTTGAACAGATTCGAAATCACCAATATAAGCATGCAATTTATCAAGTACTTCCAACGAATTTTTGACACTCCAAAAGTATTTAATTCCACTATTTTCAAAGGCCTTATTTGAACAATTAATTACCAGGTTTTTGATTGTACCAAGTGTACTAGTAAGTAGAATAGACAGTTTAGTAGTGGAACAATTGCTTGAAGACGAAATAAATCTATATTTGTAAGGTGTGTTGCGAAGCTTTGGAAGCCAGTACATAGTTGGAACTTTCATTGTACATTTCCGAAAATTAAATCAGTTGACATGTTGGTGAATTCGTGATTTCCTTTTGCAGAACCTCAATGTAAAATTTACGTCAAAATAATGATACTATTTGCAGCCTTATCAGCCGGGACAAACAAAAATTCCTTGGCGAGTTCTTTTAGCTTATGTTTGATACGAGAAATACATGTAGGGCTATTATGGTTGTTGTTAGGAGTAAAATGTTCTTTAAAATGTTGTATACGTATATCAACCATTTTCTACATACGAAAATGCCTGTACCAAGTCAGGAATATGACAGTTGTTATCCATTCGATTGATGTGTTTGAGCTTTTGATTTTGCCATTTGATAAGAGACTTTCCTTTTTTATTTTTCACCATTATTTTTTTATTTGGTGTTTCTATAGAATATTTTGGAAATTTGAGGTTACATGGTTACTAAAGCTTGTTCACAGGAAAAAAAAGGGTTGAAAATTTGATTGGTTAACTTCCAGTGATGGTTATTTTCTTATGTGCAATGAAATGTTATGTGAAGTCGTGTCTATAGTACTGGACAGGATAAAACTTTACTCATGCCAAGTATTTCTTTATTTGAAACAAAGATAAATTCTGCACAATTTTTTGAAAAGTGCAGATTTAACAAAGAATGATAGGGGAAAATCAATGGTGGTATTACACCTGTATGAACAGTACTTTTACAGAAAATGGATACATAATGTCATCACATACAAGCTGACTCTGAGCTAGTAATACATTAGGCAAAGAAACGTCCGTAATATATGTTATCAACCCAGTAAATGTAAAAGCGTATCAACATTACTAGTCTAATAGTTATGTACACCGGACGCTAGTTTCGTCTTAATAACATTCATCGGTGTCTTATGGAGAGATTGATTCAGATTTGGCAAAATTTGCAGATTTACACACTAAATCAGGTAGAGAGTAAAGATATGGGCAGCTGTGTTAAATTACAAATGCATTTTTTAACATTGTTGGCATACAAAAACAACATAGATGTTATGCCCTTTTTCATTAGCACTATTGATCAATGAAAAAGCATTTAAAGGGATACATTAATACTAAAACTAGGATTTGTGATTTAAGATTTAACAATGACATATTTTCAACATCATGATTATTGATATGCAATACCCAATTGTTTTCTTACTTCCAAAACATTTTTTTCGATTTGTTTACCAATAACCTTCATTCCACTTTGCGCATGCTGTTTGAAATCTGCACATACATTTCCAGTGTTTTTTCCATGATATTCGATATTATTTGTTTGTTTTTCTCTGTTTAAGACCGACTGATATTTGACAAAACTGTTTGCACAAGACCGGTAATGATGGAAGTCTAACACAGTAGACATTGCTGTATATCTGAAAAAAAAACCCAGTCATTTTTAATTACAACTAAAACAGTTAAAAAGGACAAAAACAAATTGAAAACGAGTTTGTGATCTTACATTATAATAACACGACAAAAGCATACACAAATTATGCAAACCCAACATATAGAATACACAAATAAAAACAAAAAACAATGAAAATATAAGGACGAATTTATGTTTGACAAAGTAGAATGTCATATTGTGGTGTTTAATTTGATTGTTTCGCAAATAATTCTTCTGTGTGATCTGGACACATAAGTTGCATCCTGGGATGTTTGTAACATGTTTGTTTTAAAATTATAAAGTGTATTAATGTTGAAATTGTTACTTACTTTATACGATAAGATAGGATAAGATATTTTCCTTACAATCAAAGGGCCTATGAAGAGCAAAGTATTTTTTTTTTATAATTGACACAAATATTTGGACCATCATATATACATATAAATATAATCAACTAAATTATAAGATCTTATGCCACAACCAGATCAGAGCCATAAGCATGTGTGTAAAAAACAGTAATGAAACAGATGATATATAATAGGAAGAATAAATATTATAAATTGGTTACTTATACACATATTTGTCCTATGTTGATAGTTTCCAGCGAGAGATTATAAAGAGGACACCCAACGTGCATTTTTTTCATAACCTTTGTGATTTATCTATTTAGTTTTTGCATGTCTATCCGTCTCTATTTTTATGGAGTGTGCAATGATTTGATCTTGCATAGTGCTTGTTTATCTTCAAATTTTCCTTATTTCAAATATCGTTCTGTACCAGAAAAATATATTTGAAAAATAAGTCAAGAGTTTACCTTTATCTGATTTAACAGTATTTCCTCTAAAATCTTTCCAATAATTCCGAACATTTTGACATAATTTATCTTTTATAATATGACATAATCGGCCAACACTTACATTTAAGATTGATAATTCTAGTACTTCGATTAAAAAACAATACTAGAAAACCACGTAGTGATATTTTCACATGTATTGAAACATAACCACGGAAATAGAATAATTATAGGAAATCTTCCTAATTCAAACATAACAGCAACATTGTTTGCTTTTCTGTAAATCCCGAGAATAAATTTCATAAATTTTGTGTGTGATTTTTCAGATATATCTTTTGAATAAACCTTTTTCTAAAATGTTATCATTCTTGTTCTTAATTTCAACTGAAGTGGTTGAACATATTCCCCATATTTCACTGCCCAACATTAAAATAGGTTTAATGATATGGCCATAAAGATGCATTGAAGTTGAGACACTGGGATTTAATGATGCGAGGCATTGTTGTAATTCAAAACAAGCTTTCATTGATTTATTGTATAGCTCATCTGTACACTATGTAAATTTATCACTAGATACACAAGTTATTCCTGGGTTCTTATATGACAAGAAAAAACTTAAATAATGCATTATCTAACTTATATACCGTCAAAAAATATTATTTTTCTGCAAAGATTTGCATCCTTTTTTACCGATCAAACTAAAGTGGGGTATTCTTTTCTGATGCGTTCAGGTTTAAATACGCCCTACGGCACATGTAAAATGTGTAGTAAACCTCACTAATTAATTTAGATACTGCATGAATCAAGACACAAATGAATCGTTATGGTGTATGAAAAATACATATAACCGTGTAAGTAATTTATTGTAATTTAGTTTATGAAAAGGGAATGCTGTGGTTTTTTTCCATAATATTTTTATCGCGGAAAAGCAGATGATTTTTTTGGTACAATTTTTAAAACGAACTATTGTTTTCTTTCTTTTTTCTTGCAATTCAATTTTTAATTAATACGCTAATCCATCACCCCCCCCCCCTCCTTTTAATTATACAGTGCGTGGCTGTTATTCTATAGAAAATGAGAATGTTGGCTATTTTGATCGTTTGATAGAGTAAAAGGTTTATATAAATGTCAAAAGTTAAGAACTCGCACATAGAGAGCACTAAATCGTGGTGAACGTCTAACACGAAAAACGAACATCCATGAATCAAAGTATGATTTCCAATGCAGTGTGAATCAATGAGATTATACAAGTCATACGCACAAATGTGTTAACATTTGGCTTGTTTTAAAAGTGTTATGAGAAGTTTTGCATTATCAATTTCATCTCAAAAAATGTCCCTTCATTGTAGCGATAAATTAAAAAAAAACTTCACATTATATGTTTCGAAAGTTAAAATGTGTGTCAACGACATTTTTTGATATTTCAATCTAATAAATGGAGGAATGTATATATTTTGTCTTAAACTTATAAAAGATGGAAAATAAAAAATAAAAATCCCAATTGGCAACAACACACGATGTCTATCAAATGAATTGAATGTTCGAGTTTATTATAGTTTGCATTTTAATCAGTGAAACTAATGACCTTACACAGGTCATTATGTTATTCATTGAGGCAAATTTCATTGACATTTGGTTTCATCCGGGTTGTTTCTTGAAAAAAAGACTTATTGGTCTTAAAAAAAACTCCATATAGGTATATAAGAAAAAACAACAATATCATCTGCCTACATTAGACATTTAAGTATGCTGTTGTTCAGGTCAACTGGGTCTGTACATAATGAAACTGTTTCCGGTAGATCATTTATAAACAATTTTAAAATATTGGGGCTTAATCCATCGCTCTATCTTGCATTTATAAATAAAGGCAACAGTAGTATACCGCTGTTTGAAACTCATAAATCGATAGAGATATAAACAAATCCGGGTTACAAACTAAAACTGAGGGAAACGCATCAAATATAAGAGGAGAACAACGACACAACAAAAACACAACATTAAAATGTAACACACACAGAAACGAACTAAAATATAACAATGGCCATTTTCCTAACTTGGTACAGGACATTTTAAGAAAAAATGGTGGGTTGAACCCGCTTTTATGGCAGCGTCAAACACAACACCAAAACGACAAAATCACATGACAGGACCACAATACAAATGAATGGGAGAACATATAGGACAAAGAAACACACGAATAATAGCTAAAAAAGGTACTCGGCTTAAAATTCAATACGTCAGACGTGCGTCTCGTCCACACAAGACCAACCACTGACGCTCAGATGAAAAAAGTTTGAAAGCCAAATCAAGTACATAGCTGAAGAGCACCGAGGACCAAAACTTCCAAAAATTTGCGCCTAACACGGCCAAGGTTTTCTGCCTGGGACAGGAACATCCTTATTATTTAGAATAATATATAATTTTGCAAACAGTAAATTTTATAAAATGACTATATAATAGATATACATGATAAAACCGAAGTGGGGACTAACTATAGAAACGGATACATTACATAAAATAACTTAATCCAACACATAAAAATACACAGCCGAGTTAGCCAAAGCCTCAACACACAAAGTGACGTCACATTTTAAATTCTAAAAACACACACAAAGATATGTGTCGATTCCTGTACCTTTTATAGCCTCTGCATGCGGTAAAGGAGTGAATAGTAGTCGATCCAACAACAGTTCGCTGAGGCATGTAAATGTATTTATGTCTGTCAGCAATTGAGGTGGTGCTATTTAGGTATTTGTTGATAAACAAGGTACTTGATCGGTTGTCAGGTATCCATGTTGTGACATGTACTTTTGGGTTTAACTGAACTCCTGCTGTTTTTATGTCAAACATTTGATCCTGGAATACAATCAATATATAAATGAAAGAAAATAAAAATAAATTATCACCGATTCAATATGACGTGCTTCTTTCGCTTTGTAAACAACAGCGTGATAAAATTCTCAATATATCTATACTATATCGATATATATACCAAACTCAGAGATGTACATATTGATGGCTGTTACAATTTATCTCCCACGTAAATCCACATGTATCGTTACCTATGTGCAAACACTATGTGGATTTCGTTGTTTTCAAATTGAAGAAGGAAACTACAGAACCGTTATTCCTATTCCAATGCATAATAAAAAGAATAAATGCATAAGATTTTAAAAATTGTATAGCTCAAAATAAAATAAAATTCAACGAAATTCCATGAATGATTTTGGCGCATTAATGTCATGTCAAAACATGACGTCGTACGAATGAAAAGTCTCAAGTTGAAGATTATTCCTCTACGTGTACACTCTGAATTCGGATAATATTGCATTAAAATGGAGTTTTGAGGTAGGTGTTGTTTCATTTTCTATTCTGTTACATCATTCGATCATTCATGGATTTCAGCAAGTCAACATGGCGTACCACTCCTTAGTCACGACATGTCAATTGTGCATTTGACAGTAAATAGTAGCCAACAAACAGCAGCTACAATAGTATTTACATTACATTTTGAGTGAAACGAATACGGATTGACATTCAAACAACCGCAATAAAAATGCAAATACATATGAAACCATGACGTATATAAAAAAAAAATCTAGTTTTACTGGTTGTCTTGACATTTCCGCACCGCTTTTAGTAATTGGTTCATTGAAGAAACATATCATCACCAGTAAAAATAAAGAACACAATAATCATACCTTTCCTAAACAAAAACAAGTAAAAGATAACAAAAATATCGAACTCCAACATCAGTTAAAAGCGGAAAGTCCTTTCTTTATCAGATGGCAAAATAAAAGCTCAAACACATCAAATGAATGGAAAACAACTGTCATATTCCTGACTTAGTACAGACATTTCCTTAGGCAGAAAATGGTGGATTAAGATATTGTTTTGAAATGAACATGCCACCATATATTTGTATTACAACAACTGAGACAATATACAAAATAGATCATGGTCCCAAATAATACACAATGATCTTGGGTTATAGATGGATAATTGAGAAGTTGTGTATCATTTTATTAACTTAACAGTTCAGCTTTATTTTTCTTTTTTACTTGTACGTTCCTTTTGTTCGTATGATTCGTGTCGTGGCTCGGTTTTTTGCGCATCCACCTTTCTAGTTTTTTGTCTTTGGATGTTTCTTGTGCTCTGTGCGATTCGAATGCATGCAGTTTTCAAGGTGTTATTTTCGTTTCGATTACCCTTGTATATATAGTTAACTCTATTTGTACTTTATCCGGAAAGTGTTTACTATTAAGACAATATGCTGTACATGTACTACATTGTTTGCACTTTTAACTACAAAAACTTGATTGTCAGATTTGTTTGTTTGATTGTATGTACTATTAACTACAATAACCTTGTTTTTTTCTTTGTCTGATGTATGTGTATGCTTGTTTGAATGTTAAAGTCAGTTTTGTTCGATGTATGTTTACATTCTTTTGACTGCTGGATCCCAGAAAGTGTCACATTAACCACTTATGTCTGTTTTGGTTACTCACCTAATGTTGTCAATATAAGCGAAATATATTCAACTGTCATACAAGTAAAAGGTTAAGTTATCTATGAAACCAGGTTTTAACCCACCATTTTTGTGTGAAAATGCATGTACCAGGCAAGGAATATAGCAGCTGTTTTCTATTCGTTCCGTTTGTTACCAAATGTAAAGTTTTATTTTGTCAGTTTTTATGGAACTAAACCATTTTTGAATTTACCTTGGAGTTCGGTATTTTTTGTAAATACTGATTTATAGTATCACTTTTACTGTGACAAGCGAGTTGGCATTGCCATTGTTAGTTACTTCCACAATTCATTTTGTATTCGGATTTATCATTTTTCGTCGTGCGCTCTTTCTTGCATTATAACATGTACAAAGTATTGCACCTTTTCTTTAGAGAAAGACTTTTTGGTATTATTTTGACAAATATAATAATTAGTATTATTATTAGTAGAAATATTAGTATAAATATCAGTATTAGTATTATCATTTTAGTGTAGTCAGTGTAGATAGGAATAATGAAAAGAAATTTAGATTTTTTTTTCTTTCCATGAAGTTATATCTTTAAAAGAAAGAAACAGGTCACTGTACTTTACACAAAGGTTTTAAATATTATGCTTTTCTGGTACAAAATCTGATGTTTTTCTTATAAGAAAACGTTGATTTCTTATCATAATGAATATCATTTGCGTTTGTCTTGTTTTAAGGGTATCAAAGGAATTCTGGTTCATGTATTATTACTCATAAAGCGCTTTTATCACTGGGAATTTCGGATAGAATCTTAATTTTTAATTTAGGCAACCTTTACTAAAACTCAATGGGGGATATATTAAACGGATGATGCAAAATACTTGATTAATAATATGCTAATATGGAAGTATGTCCGAGGGAATCCTATGTCTCCCAGTACAAGTTCTTGTCCTTGTAATGCAATTATAGATCAGAGGCAACAGTAGTGTTCCAAATGTTGTCCGAACTGTAAATTTGGTGTTTATTTCAGAAATTGTAAACATATTGATAAGTCAGAGAACAATATTCAACATTAATGAAGCTTGTAGGAGATATCAAATTTAAAAAAAAAATAACGTTTCTATATGTTAAAATTGACGTTTTATTAGTTAACAAATTTTGTTCATGTATGACTCCATTTTGTTTTCATACAAGGATAACCTTGAACTTTGATTATGCAAAATTTACATAAAAATGAAGTTTTGATAGACTTGTCAGTATCTAAAACTTAAACGAGAAGTAAGGAGGGAAAAAACTTTATTTTATAGAATTTAGTCCCACTGGCTTTTTTAGTCAGTAATTGAAATTTTCATTTCAGACTAAAGGTATCTTTGACATTTCTGTTTTTACATAAAAATGTTTTCGTATAAACTTTTTTAAAATATATTAGTATCCTGTCAACTTTTATTGGCGTTTAATATTTGACGCTCGGAATGTGCCAATAACTATATCGTATAGAACGGAAATAATTTGTGTGTACTTACTTACATAAATGTATTAATAACAAAAAAATAGACAATAACTGAATGTAAAGTACGTTTTAGTCATTCAAATGTTTACAATGTAAATAGCTCAGATAATCAAGCATCATCATCATCGACATCTGTCATGTGTGTATTGATAAAATGACACAGGTCTGATGCTTGACATTGACAAAGTTCAGTAGAAGACAAATTATCTTCAAAAAATGAAAATAACACGTTATTAATTTCATGCGTCCGAAGCGCTTTCCTGGATTTACCTTCATCAGGAACGCTCAAATCCGAATTTTTGAAAGCCAAGGATGTATAAAAACCGAAACAGTTGAAGAGCTTTATAATAAAAAAGGATCTAAAATAATAGCCAAATCCATCTAAGGCCAACTTTGCCTGAGGGAGTTGAAACCTTAGTTTCTTAATAATTTCAAAACTTATAAACGGACAATTTTAGAAAGGTTTGTTATAAATCATGTCAGTATCGAAATACTGACTACTGAGCTGATGATAGCCTCGGGGACTGATAGTCCACCCGCAGATGTATCGACCCAGTGCTGTAAAAAATGAAAACAACACGTTATAAAGCTTCCAAAGCGTTTTCTTCAAAACGTACAACCCTTACTGCACACTGCATTTCCTTTGCACATGCACACCGAACCTTGAAGGAAGTCATATGACATTTGACCTTCAAACAAGAAAGGTTCAAGACCACAATTTCCTTCTTTCCAACCAAAATTGTAAAAGCGACCCAATAACCGACTTGGCTTTATGCGCATTCACCAGACATTTCAAAAGAAATTTCAACACGTGTAGTTTAAATGATGCTTCACAAGGCGGAAGCTGGACTTAGTTGGAGCATTTACAGGTTGCAAATTACACACGGATCCTGCTCTGATTTGTATGGCAATGTGTAGACTTTTTCTTCGCATCACACCGCCTTGCTATCATATATATCTTATGGTGATATATAGGATAAGTCATTGAATTGATCTGATATAACTCATTGTGTTGATCGGGTGTTTCTTTCAGTGCCTTTAGTAAGGATTTGTTGAAGATGATGTAGTGTCACATCCTTTAATAGCATGGGCAGTTGGTAGGAACGAACATAGAACTGAATTCATTGACTTGCACAACTCATGAAGAGGAATGTAACGCCTACAATGCTTAGGCTAGAAACTATTCCTGTCTGAAACTACAATGCAGATATATGAGTCATTTGTGCGAAAGCTTTAATGGCATCATCAATAGTAAAAACATTAACGGTACCAATTTTACTGCAGCAGATGCGAATTTCGACAAGAAATGTCTCTTCAGTGATGATCGGGGTCAAAATATTTTAAAATCCAAAACTTATTAAAAAAAGATGAAGAGCTTATAAAGCAAACAATACAAAAAGTATAGACAAAGACATGCTAGGAATCAGAGCTTTGCATGAAGGAGATGTATACCTTAATTTCAAATAATTTCAAACCTTTTGAAACAGAACAATATCCGTGTTTTCATGCCAGTACCGAAGTACTGGCTGCTGGGCTGTTGATACCATCGGGACTAACAGTCCACCAGCAGAAATATTGACCCAGTGGTAATAATAACATTAAGGGTACCAACTTTACTGCACCAGATGCTAAAGATATGGAACTGATGAATACTATTTTAGATTTACCCTGTCTTTGTTGTAATTCAATAATAATTGAATCGCCGTAATAATTCTACAACCTATTTTCCAATGTATCCGTTGTGTCAGCATGCTCCTTTGGAAGAAAAACACGCAAAAGTAATGCCTTATGTTTAACCTAATTAGATAAGAATTTATTTCGGATATCAAATTCACGACTTCAGTATTCTGGTTTAAAGATTTGCTTTCTGCTTTCACTTTATTGGTGTTTTCGGTGTATACTTAATAACTTAAACAGGGCGAATGGTAAAGTGCATTTTTATAAAACAAAAATATATAAAATCTTTGATTCAATTTCATGATTTAATTCTGGTTGCCTCTGGGATATTTGTCATTCTGTTTTTTTATTTAACTGTATGCAGTCTTGTTTCTTTTCAGTTGGTCTTACAAAATTTGCAGGAATACCAGTCAGATCGGGTTGTTATTCTAGATATGCTTACAACCATTTCCATTAATTCTTGTTTATAACGAGTAAGATTGTTTTTACTGATGTCTAATTTATGGCATTTACCTTTTTCCCGAAATGATATGATTGACAGAAAAAAAAATCTTCTTCAATCTTCTTAATCTTTATTAATCTCATATTGTCGTACTTCAGTAGTTTCAATAAAGCCTACTTTGCCATTGTGAGTGAAAATGTAGAATTTTCCAGGACTTTCAGTTTTACAAATACATGTAATACACATCTGAAAATTTGATAAACGATGTTTTGACTCAATTGGCGCTAGCTGAAGCAAGTTTAAAGGACAAATGAACTGGCCGTACGGATACCTATAGTTGATAATTTCTGTGTCACTTGGTCACTTGTGGAGAGTAATCATACCACATCTTCTTATTTTTATTGTTACACTTTCCGGAAATTTTTGCACAGTAGATCCGGAATATTTTTTAAACGCAAATTTCAACACAATGTAAACTATGATAGAAAATAATAATAATAACCTCTTTTGTCGATCAAAATAGAAAAAACAATGAAATTAACAAAAAATCTACTTTAGCAATGCGTAAAGACCTCTAAAGGTAATAAATAAACAATTTCAATGTGAAAGGCAAATAGAATTTTAGCTTCAGAGGGATAGAACTGATCGGGTTGAGGATTAAATGGAAATAAAAGTTTCGGACCACAATTCTGGATTTAAATGCATCATTTGACGGATTGGTGTGCCTTATTCAAATTATGAATTTCTCCAAAATAGAATTTAAATTGTTTCAAATGGAAGTTCTATGTTTCAAAGTGTATTTATATGCAAAATAAATACAAATGAAGCGAATAATTATTGTCTTATCATAAACGGAAACAGGTAGTTAACCAAAACTACTGAAATAAAAACCTTCACAAAATTTTATTGGTAAACATATGAAAACGAAATCATTGTCGCCTTTTATCATTAATGTTTTATTCTTACATTTGCATGATCAAATATAGCCTGCATGTGGTGATTCGTAGTAAAAATAATCATTTTAGTAAATCAGCGATTTTGTTTTATAAACTGCATAATGCTAAATAAGGCAATTCTTACGGAATTAAGACCATACGATTTTCTTACGGCATGTTTACAAAATAAGTTGAATATTTATTATTTCATTTAAAAACATTTCCAGGTGTGTGTTCTTTTGGGTGCATTAAACTCCTTAACTAAGAGTCTTTTCAGATTTTGCCGCTCCACTATTAAGATAAAAAGCAATAACTCATAATGGAATGAGCCTGTGAGCATCTTATGTTTGTTACCCCCGCCATCCAAATTCACATAGTCTTTACAAAAACAGAAATATAGTACTGCGAACAATATTTTGGTCCGATTTATAACGTCTTTTGGCATGTAAACCTCTGACAGATATCCACCAGAAAATTAACGTGAATTTGAGTTATAACATGACATCGGACGTCCCTCAACAATAAGCAAAATCCATACCGTATAGTACGCTATAAAAGGCCCGGACATATCAAAATGTAAATAATACGAACGAAATGTTGGTAGGAGTTGCTATCAAATATTAAACAGGGAAATTAGAATCATCTTTCTTATGCAAGTAATCACAGATGGAGATACACACGGATATTTGAGATAAGTGAACCTTTTTTCTCGTGAGTGGTACAAGTACATACGTTGGATTCACGTAGTCTTTTTAAAGCATTTCAGATAATGAGTTTTGCATATAAAAAGTATGTGTTGTGCAGGGAGAAACAAGCAGACATCCACCGGGCTACATGACATGAAAGAAACCCGTATGCTACATCGTTTCTTAATGCATGTCCAATCGATTTGTTTTTCTATAATCATGACTTTCATAGAAAAAATTTAATTATCAGGCTTGTAAAAAGTATTATAAAGAACTGTAGTGTAAACAGGATCAAATACATAAGACGAAAAAGGAACATTTTTTTTGCATTTCGTTTAGTCTAAGTCGTGTTTCGCCGATATAGTGTGCAATTTAATTACGTATACAATAACGCTGGCTGTTCAATGCATAGCGTCCTGAATTGTTGTATTGTACCATTTGATGGTCAGGTAATTAAGATTGGTTAAATTTTCCATGTATTGCAGATGAAAATGTATTCTCAATTAGAGTTTATTGTGTATCTAAACAAAAAAGAGGGACATTTTTTGATAAACCTGCATGTTGGATTATTTTTTTTTTATATTAAGAATTCCAAAAAGTTATAAATAAAAGCAACAGTAGTATACCGCTGTTTAAAAGTCATTAATCGATTAGGAGAAAACAAATCTGGGTTAAAAACTAAAACCGAAGGAAACACACCAATTATAAGAGGAAAAAAACAATACAACAGAAACCCTTAACAGGACATTATAAGAAAAAATGATGGGTTGAACTTGGTTTTATAATTAGCCAAACCACCCACTTATATGGCAATGTTAAAAAATATCGCTAAAATGACGACTCAGCACAGAGAAATGAATAAATAAAAAATATAATAATACATTACAATATGTAAACCGTAGAATAACAACTGACATCTACCATGAATTAACGACAGCACAGGACACCACAAACTGCGTCACATGAATGGATCAACGCCACAAAAGGTGACGTATTTTTGTGACGTATATATAATCTTGACATTCATACAATTTTATGGAACGAGATCTATAAATTCACAACTATTTTCACAATACTAGTCCAAATAATTATCATGATTATGACGGTCTTGAAAGGCTATTTTAAATTAATGTGTGACGACGTCATAATTATGTTGACTTACACAATACTTTATCCATGAAAAAATGGAAATTAACTCGACTATACTGACAAATAAGACATCCAGATTTCAAGCCATAAACAATAGGACATAACACAATATCCAACGGTACTTACAAAAGAAATATCATAACTAAATACTGAATATTGGATGTATAAATACCGAGTGACGTCGTATAGCAATGCGAATTCACACTTGGCAAAACAGTCATATTCGAGAATAGGTCACGTTCGGTACTTAGCAGACAGACGACGTAGATGGTAAACCACAATCTAAGACGTGGTAAAAATGTCGTTAGTTAGTTTAAACACAGACACATCGTATAGATCAACCAATTCGTGATGGTATCCATAAAATTAACGGAGTGTCATTTTTAATCTTTCCTCCTCATAACTCTGTTGGAGCAGTTTCTGCGTAAGGAACACACACCTGTTTTATGAAGTCCGTATAGAGTGAAAATACACGAGCATAACGTATCAATTGAGGTATGTATGAGTTTGGGAAATTGATAATTGGGAAGTTGAAATCATCCCGTTTGTCATAGATTTTAGTGTGAAGTCGTCCATCTGTGTCAATAGTGGGGAAAAGATCAAGGTATGAAAAGTCCTTCTAGATATCAGTAGAATATAGGTGTGTTGCAACTTTCCTTTCAGAAAAGTCTTAATTCGTCTGGATTAAATACTTTACATCACATTTTAGACGTTTTGTTGATAACATTTCCGCCTTCCATTTCAGGTCCAAACAATTGATATCTAAAAAAAGCACATGCAGGTATTTACATTTATCATTCGAAGTTTCTTAAATGAACTGCTTATACCTTTGCGAGCACTATTTTCAAATGGTCTAGGGAGTGTTATTTGCATTATTTCATAGACTAGATGTATTGCCCTTCTATTGAAAGCTTTTACCGAATTAAAAAATAAGCAGTCTTCTAAACGCTAGTCTTCCTAATGTAGACGAAATGCCCTGTTGACTTAAGGGGTTATTTAAAAACCTGATGTGATATATAATTTGTTAAGGAAAAAGATACGTACTAGTGCTTTCCGTAATGAAAATCCAAACTTCGTGAAATTCGGCACCACAAATTCATCTTTGTCACACATTATGACATACTTAAATCCAAGAAGTCGTGCGTTGCAATCAAGAGATACAACTTCTTTGTCAGTCCATTGCCTTGCATTCTGTTCTCCAAGAAATCTAGGAAGTTTGTCTTAAATGAATGAGTAGATGTGCATTATTTTAATTTAAATTTGAATTGTTTGCAATAAATACAACAGCCAAGACTAAAAGCTTACACACACGTTAAAACTTAACGACACAAATAAGCACACGTATACAAATAAACATGCAGTCTTCAATTACGGATAAATATGAATGCAAAATGTCAGCTACACAATTTATAGTGCTTACATGCAATTTCTAAATTAGATATCAATCTCTGTTTAAGCTTACATCGTTATTGCAGTTTTATCGATTCAACTATTATTTTTTTTTTTTTATAAAATGTTTGAATCAATTGCATATTAAAAGAAAATGGATAAAAAGAGGTAAACGATAAGAGACAAAACCATTATCTTGAACATGAATTTCCGAATTATAAATTTACTTTTCTTGTTGTTAATGGCCGTACGGTTGTCAATTCATTTGAACTCTGGTGGATTATTGTCTCATTGGCAATCATACCACATCTCCTGATTTTTTTAAACCTTCTTTTTAGGTCAAGTATTATAGTGTTCTAATTTGAATACTTAAATAAAAAGTGATCAGTTTTTCACGCAATCATAAACAAAAATATAAGTATTTACTTTTGCAACAGTCAACAAATAAATTAAAAAAAAAAAAACAATTTATTTTCACTAAAAAGAATTGTATGTTTTTTAACGTTTTTTTTTTCTGAGTGAATTGGCTTTTTTGACACACAACGCATTCATTGTTTTATCACATTTTAAAACGAGACATACAATGATGAAGGCCTTTTATTGTTCTGAAATTTCCGTCAATACGATATTATTTCATCCTGTTCGTATATTTTTATATTTGATCAGAATCGTTGCACAAATCATAAGACTATAATAAACTCGTAAACAATAAATATAAGTATATATAACACATATCCTTCATCAGTATGATATTGATGATGTAAAATGAATCATATCAATATATTCTGAATAAGCTCAAACAATCCTTAACGGAATACAAATTAATAACTGGAACACGCTTGTATAATTCTAAAAATTCAAAGTTGAAAACAGGTTAAGTATTTACAACAGAGACTGCATAGATATATATGTGTGACGATCCGTTAATACTACAGTTGCTGCTTGGTGTTTTATATAAGGTTGCACTTTGTAAATACAGCTGTTTCTCAAACCACGCCTCTTTTGGGGAGATATTTAATATTCATAGTTATGTTAATTTGTTAACGTACTGGTTCCCATTGATGATCTCTGTGTTTCATCTCATAGAGACATCACTTGGGAATGTAACCAGTATAGAAAAACATGGTAGCGGCTAAATTTTAATTCTTAGGAGGTCCAAAAATGGAGGTAAGGGCAGTATAGAATTTTAGTATAAGTTTAAACTCTTAGAAGTTCAGGGCATATAAATGTTGAAAATATGCCGCACAGCCCTATATTTTGACCTTTGAATAAAATAGTAGTGCATATAAACTTTCCGTTCTGGGATATTATTTTTCACGAAACTTCATAGTAAAAGTGTCACAGTTTTAGCCGCAAAGGGAGTTCTTATGGGAAATTGCATTGTCTGTATTTACAGAATTGCAACCTATATAGGGTTAAAAAATAGAACATACAGAATTTCACAAAATCTGGTTTATCTCAGAGATTTTAAAGAATTTAACTCAAATATGAAGTTTTATAAATATTTCATGAAGATTGAGAAAATCCTGGGCCTTAACTATGATGACTCAGCATAAATTCACAGTTTACAGTATGCATGGTTTACCCAAAGCCCTGAATTCAAAATAAATTCATAATATATGCCTATTTGTAATTTAAATTGTTTAGAAGTGCTTATATTTACTCTTCGCAGTAATTGCAACTCATTGATCCTTCCTAAATATTTCTGGTGGGGTATTTTTGTCCTGTCGATAACCCAAAAGTAAGCCGTAACGCCTAAATGTGCTTTTTTGTGACTGCGGCATAAAAAAGTACAAGCTAGAATTACAAAAAGACCTCAGTAAAACTTACAATAGTGTGTTCTATCCTAAATATGTAGTAAATATTCCACATTGCTAGAAACAGGGGAAAAAATTAGGAAATGTGAGGCCCCAGGGGCAAAACACAGAGAAAAATGCCTACCCCTGAGTCATAAAACAGATAATTTAACTTGTAAATGCTATGATTTTTTTTATTTTAAAGGTCTTTTATAAAGTAAACAATAACTGTGCTAGGAAGTTATGCAAAAATCAGATGTAAGCAGTCATTTCAATCAAACTTTTAGTGAATTTATGCACCAGACTGATATCTTCATAAATACAACTTTTGCAAATATGGCTTTGTTTAAACACTTCTAGGACATATATTAACTAACTTATGTTAGATATATGGTTAGGAATGATACTGTTGTGACAAGAATTCTAAACTGACCATTTGAGGCAGAAATTGTGAACTTTCATTGACAAATAGGCATACAGTAAGATGTGGACTGGAGACACAGGCAGGATTGGATACTTTGTATAATCTTGAATGTTGGAATGCTTAACTACTAAACAATACATTTATAGTATTCTAAAATGCTTTCAATTTGTTATCAAAATAGTTTCAAACAGGTTTTAGACAGTTCATGTCAGAAAACATGCACATAGGGTAAGCTGGCAATAATTAGAGTCTTGTTTTCAAAATCTTTAAAAAATTGAAACAGGGGTAGGGGTATAAAATGTACTGTAAAAGGAGACTTAGAGTATATGCAGTGATTTCTTTAAGGCTATAATTGTGATAAATAAGTATTGTTGTGAGAAAAAGTGTTTTTAGAGAGTTTTCTATTTGAATAAATGTTTGTATAGGTTGCACTTTGTAAATACAGCTGTTTCTCAAACCACGCCTCTTTTGGGGAGATATTTAATATTCATAGGTATGTTAATTTGTTAACGTACTGGTTCCCATTGATGATCTCTGTGTTTCATCTCATAGAGACATCACTTGGGAATGTAACCAGTATAGAAAAACATGGTAGCGGCTAAATTTTAATGCTTAGGAGGTCAAAAAATGGAGGTAAGGGTAGTATAGAATTTTAGTATAAGTTTAAACTCTTAGAAGTTCAGGGCATATAAATGTTGAAAATATGCCGCACAGCCCTATATTTTGACCTTTGAATAAAATAGTAGTGCATATAAACTTTCCGTTCTGGGATATTATTTTTCACGAAACTTCATAGTAAAAGTGTCACAGTTTTAGCCGCAAAGGGAGTTCCTATGGGAAATTACATTGTCTGTATTTACAGAATTGCAACCTAAAAGCCTCTTATAAATATAAAAATAATTTATCAAGGAAACCAGGCTTGTAACTTTCTACGCAAGACGTGCGTTTCTTCTAAAAAAATGTATTACATCGCCAACTTAATTGTTTGCCCGTTGTTGTATATACTTCATTTTTAAATGTCATTTCATTGTTTTTTCAATATATAACATGCGCTAGTTTGATATTAAGTTAACTTTAGCTGTATTGACAAAATCTTTTGGAATTTTGGTTCCTCAATGGTCTTCAACTTCGTACTGTTTTTTGCCTTTTTAACTTTTTTTTTATTCGAGCGCCACCGATGAGTTTTTTATAGACGAAACGCGCTTCTGGCGTACAAAATTTTAATCCTGGTATCTATGATGAGTGTATTACATGTACGCTTGAATTTCTTGTATGATGTTAATATCGTTCCCTATATTGAATACTTTTCTGAAAATATGACTTTTAAATTGTTTATATGCACCTAAAAATATAAGTAGTAAGCATAGGATATATATATATATAACTACCCAGTCTGTTACGCCTCTAGTTTTATGAAATTTCCAATAAAGTGTGCAATAAAGTCATCAGTCCGCAAAATCTGTCAATGTTAATTCAAGATGTCCATTTACTTGTGTGTTAAAGAGGAGATAATTCAAAATAAATTTTATATTCCTTCGTAAAAACATGCCAACAGCGCCAGAATATGAATGATATATCTTCCAGCTCATACATGATTCCATAGTTTGCGTAAATTATCATGATTTCATTGGAAAAAAAGACAATAGTATCAAGGGTTCCGAATAGTGAAGATAAAGTAATCCATTCATGAGTTTCACGGCCGTCATCATGTTTTATTAGAACAATATGGAATATCGATGTTTATTCTAGAAATCGACAATTCTTGCCGAGTGAGAAATGAATTTTACGAGACACGAGAACATAATTGTACCATAAATATTCTTATAAATTCCAGCTATAGAATTAGCTCAAAAACAGAGCATGCCATTAAACATAATAATCAAAGAAATAGTACAGTGTATATCGCAACTTCACCTGTATACAAAACATAGAGTTTTGCTACTAGTAACTGCTTTGTTATTTATAAATGTACATGTTCTTCAACGTTTATAATAATTTTTAAATTTCAAAATATGTTAGCCTCAGGCAATACATTACAAAAGAAATGTCCATAACAGTAACAGTCATTTTATGACTGATAAAAGTTGTAATCTTCACTATTGCAGTAGTTCTAAAAGTAGTTGTTTCCAACATAAGCCGACTGCAACAACGCTTGAAATTGTTATCACAGTAATAATAGGACTGCTGCAACTATTTTGACAAAGTAACTCGTCCTGAACTTGTGTGAAATATGTGTCACTGAACATTAAGCAACCAACAATCAATCAATCATTAAAATTGCAACACTTAATCTATAACTGTCACAACTCTAAAAACGTTGCAACGGTCATAAATAATTTTTTTAAACAGCGAAAAGGTTGTACCAGTTATAATATGACTGCTTCAACTATTTGAAAGTTGTCACAGTTAATTTATAACTGTCCCAAAAACGTTGAAACAGTCATAAATAAATTGTGTAAATGCCATAAAATTTTTTACGGCTATGACATGTTTGTTTATTAAAAAGTTGTAACAGTTAATTTATACACAATACATGAAAGTCCGGGATAGCTAAGATCCTTTGTAAAACAGTTTACCGTGTGAAACATTCAAATGTTGTAACGAAATGACACATGGCACACCAATTCATAACTTGATTTGAATTTAAACTGCTTGTTTTAAAAAAAAAATAGTAGATTGAAATATATGCCATTGCACATTTTACAGTGTGCCGCTTATTTGTTCATTGAAAAGAAATTAGTTGTCGAAATGTGCATCCGGCGCAGTAATGGTGATGGTATTGCGATCAATGTTCTAAAGAAATAGTAAATGTATATTATGACCCATATATAAACTAAAAACCACACAATGTTTTTTAATTAATTGAACAGTATAGTCTGAATAGTTTTATTGTTGCTATTACTGATTTGTTGCATATCTACGATATCCTCTTTCGATATGATTATTGCCCATTTTTATATTTCTTCATAGAAAGCTGTTTCCTGGTGGCAGAGATGCAAATATATGCTTTAAAAAGATATCCTTTTTTTTTTTTTTTTATCTTTCTGTGGAATTTATTTTGGTAGAATTTTTGCTATTGCATTTTAAAAAGTCCCAATTTATTCGCACTAACCATAATCTACTGTTTTATGAAAATCGTTCTTTATTTTGAAAATTTACAAATTAATCGAAGTATTATACTATGATTTACTTATAAGCACATAAATAAGATGCAAACAATAAACCTAAATTGTGCACCAACGGTAAACGTTTAACATGTTTAAAGGCCATATAAACAGATATAAATAATTCAAATATACACACTTGGCTACTTTTCCCTTCCCTAATGAAAAGTTCCATTACTAATGGTTAATTTTAATTAGATGTCAGCCTGACATTAGCCCGACTAATTTAAATAAGTATAAATTAAAATGGTCACATATATAACATGCATACATTTACATCATTCACAGTTGCTATTAACATTCGAGTGAAAATATATGTCGTGTGAGCACCCGCTCTGATTGTTGCATATCGTTATTTTACAGATTGATAGTAATCGTTATCTAGGTAACTGCTACATGACGAATCCTATCAGAAAAACCCGTTGCACCGATCATTCATCAATCCAAATTTCAGTTTTGTGTTACTTCTGGATGGCTTGCCAAGAATTTTGGAGGTTTCGATTGACAAGAATTAAAAATACATGTATACACAAATCAATTATCAAATTTGTATGATTCCTGTAGAAAATAGAACCTGGCTTCAAAAGGAATACAAATCGAACACAATAACAGAAAACAAACAAACGACCACATACCTTTTTCTGGCATATCAAACTCTCGAATTACATAAGCAAGTCCTATGGACTCGTAATAATCCAACACTCGCAATGCATCGCTGTTAAGCTCTTGTGTGTACGTTACAATCTTATTTACACCAAGTAAACGTTGTGCTTCGAACCATTCAACTAATATTGCAGCATCTTGTGATCTATAGGATATTAGAGAGCATATAGCTATACTGGAATCTTGTGAAGCCAGTGGTAATGATACTTTTACATAATATGATATGTCCTCTTGACATGTAGCTTTCATATCATTTACAATCGATACATATTCAATCAAGTTGAACTCTACTTGAACTGGACATCTATACTGAATTCTGCGAAGTGGCATATGTGCATATATACTGGATAGTTTCTGATTCGAAGTAATATCTAGTGGTTTTCCATTCTTTAAACGAAAGCAACAAATGAAATTATTGTTTTTAACATTATATTCCCAGCCGTTTACAATAACATCTTGATGGTTTAAACAGTTTGATAAATTAGTATATATAGCAGATGTAAGAAACGATTTACCATCAAAGGCTGGCGTGAATTTGAATGTTGTTTTTGCTTCATTAACATCAGGAATGTGCGCTGCACTTTTTAAATTAATGTCAATATGGAGATAATTATATTGAATTATTATGAAATAAAACAATACAATAACAGATAATGCTATTACAGCTCGTTTCGCAGCCAAATATCGAGCATGGGAAAAACAAAATTGCATGATCAAATCCAAGACAACTATTCAAACACAAAGTTGAAGTAATAATGAAGCAATTATTTGCTGAAAATAAGTCACCAACTGCAAGGGAAATTATGAAAAAAATATGGAAGTAAAATCAATAGACCATAACGTATTTACAAAATTGTTGCTAATAAAAACAAACACATTATAAACCTACCAGTAGTTACTACAAAAAAACTCATCAAATATACAAGTCCTATACTTGTGTATGGCAGTCGCACGTTTCTACAGAAGACTCACCAGTGACGACAAAACAAAACGGTTGAAAGACCAAATTAAATACCAAGTCGCAGAGCATTTTCATCGACCCAGTGGTTATAATAATTCATCAAGGACATATAAGGCTTATAATTTTGAACACCAGACTCGAGTTCCGCCTTAATAAGAAATATCAGTGATGCGCGAATCAAAACGGTTGAAAGGCAATATAAAATATAAAATTGACGGGCATCAAAACCCCTAAAATTCCCTAAAGCCGAGCCCAAAATATCTACGGCAATCTATATCTGGGGTAAGAAAAAAAACTGAGGGTTTCGAAAAATCCAATATTTCATTATCAGTAAATTAAGAGACAAATAAGCATATCAATGATATGTCTCGTCAATACACGGATATATGGATAATTAGACTGATGATACCTTTGGAGAAGAAATGTCCACCAGCAGTGACATTTACCCAGTGGTAAAAGATAACAGTTTGATAATTTGGTACGCCATACGTGCGTTTCATCTATATAACACACATCAGTGACGCTCGAATTACTATTGTTGAAAGGCAAAATCAAATCCAAAGTTGAAGGACATTTAAAACAGAAAATTCCCGAAAAGCTGCGCCAAAACAGTTCTATGGCAATCTTTACCTGATGAAGGATAAAACTTGGTGTTTCATATCCTTCGTTCTTTTATAAACAGTTAATTTACAGAAAAATGAGTCTGTTAATGATATTTCATGTCAACAAAAAAAATGTTGACTATTGGGCTGATGATACCGTCGCATACGAAACGCGAGCAATGACATTGACCCAGTGGTTGTGAAAAATTATAAAATACAACCGGTATACAATTTGGTACAGCTGGCGTACCAAATTGTATACCAGTTATATTTTACGTCTATATAAAACTCATCAATGACGCTCGAATTAGAACAGTTGAAAAATACTTCAAATACGAAGTTGAAGAACATTAATTACTAACCACAAAAAAAAAAAAAACTGAGCCAAATAAGTAGAAATACCATAGAGTTTCAAATAACTCAATATTTTATCAACAGCAAATTTACAAGAAAGAACTTATTAGTGATGTTTCATGTCAACACAACAGTGGATATAAAAACTCATAAAAGATACCAGTAGCTTGTTTCATTTTCATAAGACTCATAAGTGACAACAAAGACAAGGAATAACTGAGCAGAACCAATTTGTTAAAATGTGTTGTTTTACATGACCGTTGTTATATATTTCTAATAAAAAGACACGTGCACGTAACTCGACGTACGTTTAAAGAAACATAAAGGCTACTTATAGAAACAACATAATGTGTTCAGCTAAATAAAGGCAACAGTAGTATACCGCTGTTCGAAAACTCATCAATCGATAGAGATAAAAACAAATCCGGGTTACAAACTAAAACTGAGGGAAACGCATCAAATATAAGAGGAGAACAACGACACAACAAAAACACAGCATTAAAATGTAACACACACAGAAAACGAACTGTAATATAACAATGGCCATTTTCCTGACTTGGTACAGGACATTTTAAGAAAAAAAATGGTGGGTTGAACCTGGTTTTGTGGCATGCCACACCTCCCGCTTTGATGGCAACGACAAACACAACACCAAAACGACAACATCACATGACAGGACCACAATACAAATAAATGGGAGAACATATAGGACAAAGAAACACACGAATACTAGCTAACAAAAGGTACTAGGCTTAAAATTCAATACGCCAGACGTGCGTCTCGTCCACACAAGACCAACCAGTGACGCTCAGATGAAAAAAGTTTGAAAGCAAAAACAAGTACAAACCTGAAGAGCACCGAGGACCAAAACTTCCAAAAAGTTGCGCCTAACACGGCCAGGGTTTTCTGCCTGGGACAAGAACATCCTTATTATTTAGAATAATTTATAATTTTGCAAACAGTAAATTTTATAAAATGACTATATAATAGATATACATGATAAAACCAAAGTGGGGACTAACTACAGAATAAAAACGGATACATTACATAAAACAACTTAATCCAACACATAAAAAATACATAGCCGAGTTAGTCAAAGCCTCAACTCACAAAGTGACGTCATATTTGAAATTCTAAAAAAAAACACAAAGTGACGTCACATTTGAATTTGTAAAAATTTTTCTCCAAAATAAGATAGGATTACCATTCCACAAAACCAGTATTTCCTTAAGGATGCAGAACTTGTACTTCGTCAAGTTCTTAAGTATTGTACCTCGCAATCAAAGTAACCGTACCATTTTTTTATTATAATAATTGAAATTAAATAGTTATCATAAAACAATTCATAATGAAGAAGACACGATAATAAAAAAAAAACTTTCATAAATTGTATTAAAATCCCTTTTTCAATCCGACACGCGACATACAAACGTCAGAGTTAACAACAACAAACAAAAGACGTTCAGAGGAAATTATTAGGCCTCAAAAGATGACCAAGTGACCACGTTGTATATATAGTAAGATCCAAATTAAACAACAAGTTATTAATAAGTTCAACAAACATAAATGTCACCAAATTCTGAATCTAGAATCGAGACACACCACCTGATATATCGATATCAGCCAAATTAAACTAGTACATTATTGTGAGTAGGCAGCAAGACAAAGCTACAGTGAAAGGAATACACTTTTCTTTAAAACAACTACGAACACTACTGTATAGATAAATATATTCTCTAAATAAATTGTATTTTAGAAGATGTGCTCGATTAGGGATTGTAGTGTGTTGTTTTTGCATAACGGATTTGACAGTTTAAAATTCTAAACGATTCCAATTCAAATTAAGTTTCTATGCAATATCTATTATATCCATCGAAGTATCTTAACTTACGTTACTTTATCCTTTTTACTAGTATTCATATACAACACAGCATCTCTTATACAATTTATAGGTGTCACCGAACTCGTTTAGACTGCATTTTGCAATATAGCGTAGTTAGAAACATACAAAAAATAAGAAACATTTAATGTTTGCCTTAACGTTAATGTTTTGTAATGCTGTGCAGATTATCACGACTATGTGTACGCCAAAATATAAGTTTCGACATGATACAAATGTAGGTACATAAGCTAAACAATATGTAGTTTGAATATAAAGTATATATCATTTACAAGCAAATAATACCTAGTAATTTGTCTGTAGGAAAACAGTGTTCATGGAAGAAACACATACATGGATATCTAAAACATATGAAACATGAAAATGATTTCATACGAAATCGTGCCTTTCACATGATAACATTATTTGTTCAGTTAGATACAAAATCCGGGTCATTATTTTTAAAAACATTTTCAAAGTATCAAATCTGGTACTGGATGGACCAACGGACGGATATACTGAATAGAAAATGCTATATACCCTATTATCATAGGGTTTGCATACAACGAAACTGCAATGAAATATTCCATGCATGTCTGTTTTTAGAATAGGTTCTCAAGTCAAAATTTCTTTAAGAAAACAAACAGTGGGCCATGACGTTAGAGTAAAGATGACGACTCTTTTTAAAAACAATGCATCATTTTAAGCGAAAACATTGAAGACAATAACTGATCTGCGTAAGGTTCTATTTTAATTTTCGATCTTGAAGATGCATTCTCATTTATTAAATTTTATAATATTCTACGGAAAGATGAAACGTACTATATGAGTTAGTAAATGCAATACTCATGTTATTTATCATAATTTCTGCCAATAACACAAATTATAGAAATTTGAGTGTGTTTGAAACCTCTTTTTTCAAAGGTGAATTATAAAACAAAAATTATCTAGCTTCAGATTTCATTATTGTTTTTTTTTTTTTTTTTTTAGCCTAAACGTTGATGAAGTCTCTTTAAAATTTGCAATTTAAATACAACTAATCATTTGGGCTACGTGAAATTACCAAGTAATAACTACAAGCCAGTGGATTAGTTATTCACTCAAAATGATGTTGCTAATTAAGATCATCCAACTTGTAACAATAAACAATTAAAATATCTTCAATAGCAGATCGGATTAATTCTGAAATAAAATCTATTCCAACAAAATATGTTTATTTAACTACAATGTAGCAAATAATTCACGCAGTCTACCCTTACCTTCGTCATGAGTCAATACATTAGGCCAAGATACGTTCAGTTATGTTGGTTATGTCGAGTAAACTCATATTTATGGAAATCTCGAGCAGGCAATAAAAAAAAAGACATTCTCTTTTTTTGGTCTTTCTGCCTTTCCGTGGAAAGGCCTTTTGATGTTGTTCTGATTATTAGGTCTTCCGACTGTTCCGTTGCAAAACCTTTTATCGCCGCGATATTTTGCTAACGTTTTGCACGATAATTTAGTGGTCAACTTAACTGTTATACTTTGCGCATATAAGGACCAAGTTTGAAGATTTAATTCATCACAACGTTAAAATGCTTCCATGCCAAGGTTGGACACTGCTATTCGAGTGTCCCAAAAAGAACTGAAAATGTTAACCAGAGCACAATTTCGCAACTTTGGAACAGATACCAGCAGACTGGCTGTACTAAGGAACGTCCAAGGAGAGGACGATCTCGCCTAACAGCCCATGGACAAGATTGCTACATCCGGCTATTTAATCTACGTAATTGATCCGTTCCCGCAACAGCCACTGCAGTTGGTATACCAGGATTGAGAAGAATCAGCTCACAAACAGTCCACAATCGACTGCGACAGCATGGCTTTAGACCCAGAAGGCCGTATTTTGTACCCGTTTTGAGGAGGTTACACAGACGGAATAGAGTCCGATGGTGCAACAGATTGAGGGGCTGGACATTCCTCAACTGGCGTAGAATCTGTTTCAGTGATGAGTCTTGTTTTATGTTTCAGA